ACACATCGGATGTCGTCGTTCGTTACAGCCTGCGGTGGGCTTCAGGGACGAGAGTGAGTGTCTTCGGTTAGGGTCTCGAGAGTTAATTAATGCCTTCTCTACGCTTTCTTCTGTTGATCTACGTAGTAGTAGCACCTGTCTCTCCTTCTCGCCTATTATCGCCGTTGGGGTCCCAACAACATCGAACGTCAACCGCAATCGTTTTTCTTCTTGCTGAGTAAGAGGCTATTTGTGTAGTACGTACCCGGCTGCTGTATGTGAGGCGATGGGCGCTGCCTCTTTACTTGAAGCAACGGGGGCATGGCCCCTATAATGTTTGCTGCATGCTGTGCTATGTGACAGCTTCCAGCGGTTCAGAGCGGCGACGGTGGTTTTCGTATGCTCTCTTTTGCCACCTCCCTGAAGCCTGTCGCGTCTGGCTCACTTGTCTTTGTCGTCCCTTCTTCTTTTTCTTTTTTTTCTTAACATAGTCTATATTTTATTTTTCCGCTTGCTTTTTGGGGTCCGCCGGTCATCCGCCCACCACCCATTAGTTCAGTTTTAAATGTTGTTGTTGTTGTTGTTGTTGTTGTCTTCGCATTAAAAACCGTTCAGATCTCTCTCTACCCAGTACCTTCATATGTGCGTACTGATCCAACACTTGACGCGGTCGATTCCCGTGGTCACAGGCTAACTTACCCTAAAGAGGTACGCTAAAACAAACTGGCCCCGAAAGGTCCGCAAGTCAATAAAAATCAACGACAGATATTCTTTGGAACGGGGTGTTTACTTGCCATCTCTATGCAAGTTTCACAATTAATTTTGAAGCTTTTCTGAAGCTAGTTGAAACAGTAGTGTCATCGTTCGATATCCGTTCGGTGAGGAATCAATCGCAAATCATGACCCGTCCCCGAGTTGTAGCAGCTTCCGCCTCCTGGGGCCGGCAAGAGTCGGCCTTCACTGCTGTACCTTGTCTGTTTCGCCATGGGAATGGCCGGTTCAAAGCGAAAGAGGGTCCTGCGTGCTGCGCGCCACCACCTTTTTTTTTTTGCGTTTGTTTGTTGTTGTGATTTTCTTCCTGAGTGACCGTTGTTGTACACAACATGCGGCTGCTGCTGTACACATACTTGCGGTTGCTGCAGTATATGCTCGGAATGTGCTGAAAAGAAAGGTCGTAAGGTTATCGTCTCTGTTTTTTTGGGCTGCACGCGTTGCTCGCGTAGGCGATGCGCGTCTCCTACTTTTTTCCAGTGTCGTTGTCGGCAGCACAGTCAGTTGAAGAGACAAACAACAACAGACGGTCCGCCTTGTTTTGTTTTGCTGCATGCATGGTTGGTATGCATCGGCACGCGTGTTGCTTCCTTGCCTTGAGTCTGCTGCGTAGTCGTAATTTGAGCGATAGGTAAGCTAGATGGCAGCACAATCTTAGATACTACGTAGTGAGGTATGATAACCAACAGCTCGTTCGTGCAGCGGTGCGCATCTATGGCGGACGGCAAGCGTATTGCGATAATAGTTCGTCCGTGGTGCTATGTAGTCGTGCTCTTTTTAGTTCTCACTTCCTACAACAAGATAGTAGTCCACAGCTCGCACACGGCGACTGACTATATTTGTTTGTTGTTGTGCTTGTTTGCTGTTGCTGAGCCGACATCGGATATCGCCGTTCGATACACAACGTGACATCATGTCTGACAGCCTGCGGCGGGCCAGAGGGACGAGAGTGAGTGTCTTCTCGACAGAGTCAATGCCTTCTCTTCTCGAGAGAGTCAATGCCTTCTCTTCTCGAGAGAGTCAATGCCTTGTCTTCTCTCCGCTCTCGTATTTTTGTCTACCTCTCTTTCTCTCTCTCTCGCCTTTCGCCGGTAGGGTCCCAACAACATCGAACGTCAACCAACCGCAGTCGTTTCGCTTTTTGCTGAGTAAGAGGCTACCCGTGCATCCGGCTGCTGCATGTGAAGCGATGGGCGTTATGCCAAGCAATGGACTTGGGCCCTACCTAATATTTGCTCCATATGTAGTGCTATGTGAGAGTTTCCAGCGGTCCGGAGCGAGCGGCGACGGTGCTTTTCTTCTATGCGCTCTTTTGCCTCCTCCCTGAAGCCTGTCGCGTCTGACTCGTTTGTTCTCGCTTCTTTCTTTCTTTTGTTTTTCATGCTTTTGTTTTTTGGGGTCCCCCGGTTCCTGTGTGCTCATCGGGCATCTTCTTGGTGTCTACCCTTGATTGTTACCCGCTGCAAAAATCGAAAGCTTCAGACAGGCAACGCGACGATACTCGTCGAGATGCCATACACAATGAATTCATTGCTAATCTGTCTCAGACTCTTTTCTATGATGGAGATGGATTCGTTGTGTCATATTAAGAAGAATAAACATAAAAAAACATCCTGTCGTTACTCTATCGATACCTCACACCCACCCCTACTCACGCCGACGCAGACACAGACAGGCAGACTCAGCTCTTTCGCCTGTGCTGTATCTGTTGTTCGTGCGTGCTGAAAAATGGTACATACAGCAGCAGCTTACCGCAGCAGGAGCTGCTTTTTGCTTGTTTGTACAGCTTTTCCTGCAGGGATGGCTCTTGTTGTGCGGCAAGTTGCATTGTTTGTTGTTGATGCGGACGAGAGGACGAGAGTGAGTGGTAGGCAAAAGCAGTACGTACCGTGTTAAAGGGACAGACAGAGTGCCTACCGTGTGTATGTAGACGTTGCATTTCGTGATTCCCGAGGATCGGATGTATGTGTTGTTTTTTTATTGCGTACCCGCGTCCATCACGACCATTATTGCGTAGTGTGTCGGCTAATTAAGGTCCTTCCCGTTCGTGGTGTCAGCACACGCGCAACACGCGACTAAAATAAAAATATAAAGCTTGGGACTAGCAACGCCGACGATATTCGTCGGCTTGCTTTCAACAATTAACAACAAGGAGGAGAACCAGGAGCCGTGTGATACATGCGCCGTGTGGTAAAAGGCTTCCGTTCGCTGTTCGAATTATCCAAGAATGTTATTGCGCTCGTGCGGGGCCGGTGGTGCTTCGGCATCCTGCAACCGGTTTTTGGTGGCCTCGCCCCGTCGCGGGACCGACACTGGTCTTGTGTACACACCCACCGATGCGCGATGTAGGCTTCCGCTACGCAGTAGTTCGTGACCTAAAACACGAAGCTCTGCGGTGCCCTGCCGCGAAGCGACGCGAGCACGTCACAATTGTGACGACTAATTTTCGGCAAGAAAAGAGTCGCGTATTCAACACGTCTTTTTCAGCTCCGTTCCGCGCGCGGGTGTCAACCGATCTGTTCCGCCGAAACACGCCTCCAAAGCCTCTCCTCTTCAGTTGCCACTGGCGCCTCCCCCCCCCAGCCCCTCTCATGCGCAAACGTGTTGCCGATTTCCTTTAAACACCACATAGGGAGAGCCTAGCACCATCGCACCACACCGGAGGTATCTGCTCCTCAGGCCACGCCTGTCGTTGTGTTGGGGGCCATCAGCACCGCCGGTAGTTGACGGGCGTCCCACGCTTACATCACCACCCATAGTTGCGGTGGGGGGAGCAAGAGGTCTGCCCCTTGCTGCCAGCTCCACCCGTTCCGTCGATGGGGCAATCAACTTGCTTGGCGCGCCCATGAACGACTGGTTTATACAGATTTTTGTAACAAAAATGTTCCAAAAAATGAACTATTTTTTGTTTTTGTTCGTTGAGGTTCGCTTGACTCTTCGAGTCAAAAACGCGTCAGCTGTGCGAACTGTTCGACCTCGGGAAGGATCACTGATTGGCAGCTGGCAGCTGAATCACACCAACGCATGCTTTACTTTCATCTTGCATCACGCCTTGATGACACTATTTAACGCAATGCGCCCACTCCGGAGGCGCGCTTTGTACTTCTCTTATCGATATTGCCTCTCCCCCCCTACCTCGTTACCCATCCTTGTCAAAAAAACACCCACACCGTTGACTATTACAATTCCGAACCTTTGTCCAAATGATCCCTCGACCCCCCGGGCGTAACTAAATCGGATGTTGCTGCCTGTACTTTCTCCACAACATCAGGGAGTGAACCAAACCCAGAACAGCACACTCGTTTCGTCGGACAACAGGATCTACACATGTGTAACCGTTTTTTCTTTTACGCGCCTGTTGCGCTGCCAAAGCAGTTGTCGACGTGTTTCCTATTAGGTCACAAACTTGACGTCGAAGTTCGTCCAAACGGGGGGGGTGTAACCTGGGCATAACAACAAACCTGCTGACACCACCGTGCTTGCCGACGATGAGCTCCCCTTTGAACAGGATTTCCATGTACACAACAAGTTGTCCAACAAATTCGGCCTGAAAATTGCCATGAATGCGCACTGTTCGTTGTACACAGGGGCACACGCTAGCGCGCACCAACAAGTTCAGCAGCGAAAAAAACTTGCTGCAAGCACGCGCGCGGCGAACTGAATCTCTTGCATGCTCTTGACACAAACAGGTAACCACCTATAGGCTAAATACATTTTTTCCTTCCAAAGATAGTGTTTGAACGCAATAAACAAGTGAGAGGATGGCCCCCTCAAGTGTACCTTTCTCTGTCGACAACAAGGCACCACAATATACAATCAATACAGACGAAATGAGGGAAAGCACGCTAAGTACTCACCAACAAGACGCGATACTCACAATCGGATTCACCTTCCCCACTACGTCCTCTCAAGGACGCGTGGTCAACGGCGTAATAACGAAGGCATGCGAAACATGCGTGCGCCGCCCCTCGCCGAATACCTCACGGGACTTCGTGATGTAGTAGCCTGGTCCGGTGAACACCCGGCGCGCTCCGTCCCGGCTTTGAGGTCAACGACCCCAACAGCAAAGACATGCGAAACATGAGTGCTCCCACCCCCCCCTATCCTCGCAGGTTCTCAGCGCCGGCCCCCTCCCGAAGAGAAGTTGTCGTCGTCATCATCCTTCCACTTTCTCCTCTCGCTCTTGAAGAGCCAGGAGGCGATCCTCCCTATCCCGTTGCAGCGGGAACACACCTCCTCCCCCTTGCCACTGCACACGGGGCACGGCGGGGGTCTTCCGGAGGCGGGGTCGACCATCAGCTCGCTCCCGATCTGGTGTTTTCGTTTCGTGTTGGCCCCGACGCAGCAAAAGAAAGAGAGGGGGGGGGGGGGGAGGGGGAGACAGGTGTGCAGACATAGGGAGGAGACGGGAAGCGCCAGGGAGAGAGAGAGAGAGAGAGAGAGAGAGAGAGAGAGAGAGAGGGAGAGGAGGGGGAGGGGAAGGTGGTGGTGAGAGAGGGAGAGACACGACAGATAAAGGGTTGGCGCGTGAATGGGGCATGGTATGTAAACGACACCTTGCTGCGTGAGTCGTGCCGACACTGATGCTGAAGAGAAAACAACGCCGGCACATGGTCCCACGGCCGCCGAATTCATCGGCCTGGTGTGCAAATGGGAACAAATGAAAACCAAACCCCCACACGAAACAGCCCACGTACTTCCAACCAGCTTTAAACTCTACCCGGCGATACGCCAATCATTCTGAAGTTCGAAGCGCAAGCGTCATCATGGCCACACTATCGGGCTCTAGTGGCGGCCCTCGATTCGCGCGGCTACAGTACAGCAGCACGGCAACTGCTGTTCCGCCGGGGGCGAGCGCTTTCTTGTTGGCGGAAGCCATATATCTGTAGCCAGTTTTTCCTGACGTAATTCTTGCCTACACGCACGCACGAGACAGTTTCACTCTTTCGATGTGTAATATGTCGCGGTGGCTCAAGCGTCAACAGGCGTGGGATATCACGAAGTCCCTCTTCACCTGTTGCAGAACCTGCTGGGGCAGTTTTGGGCAGCTACAAGAACCGTGTGCTTCTAACCACAGGGAGGGGGGGAAAGACTAACGGATTACACTTCGCGACACCCCCAAGTCGACAATAGCTGCAAGTTGAAGTGTAGCAGACAGGGAACTACTACATAACTCAAACAAAAAAAAACTCTCAGCAGTACCAGCAACACCATCTTCCGCACCTTGAACATGCCAGTGCCGGCGCAGAACCTGCACTCTACTACCCCTTCCCCCGCGCATTGCCTGCAGCAGACCGTCTGGTTTGCCTTCCTGGACATATTCCACCTATGCTTGGCCCGTGCGTGTGTGATTACGGAAAATGAGCGCCGCCAAGAACGACACAAAAAAACGGGGGGTGAGGGGGACGCACCGGAGATAATTGCTTGCTTGCCTTCCTAGGAAAATGTACACACAATCACAGAAAGAGTATCTGCACAATCGAGATAGAACCAAAGTACTCGAAGGGGACGCGTTGAAGTCTTTGACCTTTTTCACCCGTGTATTTAAAAGGATCCCAATCTCGAGATCGATCGAAGTCTCGCGCCTGCTGCGCCTATCACGCCACTTCCGATAGGTCCAACGAAAAATTACACTGGGCAAGAGAGAAAAACAGCCGTGGAGCAGGGCACAATTAACGCCAACTTGACGGAGAAGGTACATTTATGAACACAGGTGGGGCTTGCTGCTGTACGGCAACAATGCAATTGCCCATCCATTTCGGGGTGACTTTCCTGCGTGCCGACACGCTAGCTGCGAAATACGCTCTCATGCGCGGCTGACTATTGCAGTATCTATTTCTTGAGTGTCGCGTTGCAACATCCCCCGGAAAAAAAAGGCGTTGTCACGTCGTCATAATATTTTTTACCCCGTCTCCCCCCTCAGGCAAGGACGATGATCAGCTTCTGGTTAATCCTTGCGAAACGTAGCCTGGGTCGACGAAAACCCGGCAGAATATCGCTCCTCCGTCCCGGCATTGTAGGGGTGCTAAGGTCTAACAAGTACGGCATGCCTTTGCGTGAGCTTGTAGGTGAGTACACTCCCCCCGCTTATCACCTCATGTCAAGGTTCTCCTGCTGCAGTCGGAGTCTCTCGCGGGGCGACGGCACTCCCTTGCCCAGGCCCTCGCTTATCCTCTCTCTTCTCGCCGCCGCGGGCTGCGAGAACTGTCGCTCTAACGCGCTCTTCGCTTCGTTCCCTCCTTCGGCGCTGTTGCTGGCGCTCGAACCAGAGGCGTTATTGTTATTGTTGTTGTTGTTGTTGTTGTTCTGGCTCCCACCGCTGCAGCCGCTGTCGCTACCGTCTAAGTTGCCTATTCCTCCGTCCGCAGACCTCCGGCGATTGCCGTTGCCCCCTCTCCCACCCGTTCCCTGCTAAACAAAGGGAAGAGCGAAAACAAAAACAAGGTGCTGGGAGTCACACAAATTTGTTTGCGAAAAAAAACAACGTGTGTACTGCTGTACGCGGGGTGGAACTGATGGGCTGAAACGCCCAAGCATCCGAGAGCGACAGATTGGAGGCCCCCTATCTACCGCTGCTGCTGTTCAGGGTCCTGGCACCTCCCTCGAGTACGAGCCTCGGACCTTGCCTGAGCTGGTGACTTGACTCAAACCACTCTTTTCCCCTCTGCGCTGTGCTGGCGGTGCCTGTTGGTTGATTGGCCCCCAGAAATAATACTGAAAGTCTTGGTGGTCAACACACGCAGCAGCACCTGTCTCCTGCCCGATGCTGGGCATACAAGCCGCTGCGTGCCATCGCCCTCGGAGGCGGGTGGGGAAGCAGCCAAAGCACCTTGTAGAGAGACAAAGCACACCGAGCTACCGACGCAGTGATGCACTGACTCGTATTGCAGCTGCGGTGCTGCTGTTACAGGTTGCAACTGAACGGACTTTCACCATGTTTCGAAAAGCATATTTACGCACACAATTCCAGTCATCTTTCAAGCCATCCATGACATGCAGGGTTTTACCCCCCATGAGCTGGGTACTGGGGACTGGGTGCCCGGCAAAAGACGACGGGTAGCTTCAGGCTTCAGAGGTGGCAGTTGAACAGGTACATGCGTATGCGCCGATCCGGTTTCCACACCACCTGACCGGCCCTGAATCTGTTTGCCCTCCTCGCGTCTGCTTGCCTGGTTCGGAGGTGCACCCCCTCCGTCGCCCCCGCTCCCAGAGTGAACAGGAGAACTAGTCACGGAGCACCAGCAGCTGCTCGTGCCGCCGCCGCCGCCGCCGCTGCCCCATGGCGGCGTCGCCCGCCTTCGTCTCTGATGTCGGCTAGTTGTTGCCGGGTGCAACCAAGCAGAGCTGCTGCTGTGTGGCGCCAGCAACACGGACTCCGTGGCCCTTCTCGCTATTCTTCCGCTGCATCCAAGGGCGGCGCAGGGAAGCAGAGCCAGTAGAGCTCGCAGGAACGACCAGGGAGGGTTTGTCAAGGTCATAATCCCTTAGCTCTTTGCAGTTGTGCTGTTGTTGTCGAAGGAGCTGCGAGGCGTGCGGCGCAATTTTCAATTTTCGGGGAACCACTCATAGAACGCCTCCACGGTTCTAAGTTCGCGAACAGGGGGATCGGGGACACACCAGGCAGGTGTGGTACAGTATCATGAAGATCATGATGCAAGATGCGGCCATGCGGCCGCAATCAATCGGATCGGACTTGATTCTGTGTGGAGGACGGGGAACGAGAAGTCCCGATCACCGGCGCGTGTGGGAGTTACTAACTGCTGTCCAGCTCTCCAGGACTCGTGATTCGATCCCGCCAGTCGTACAGAGCGACTTTTTTTGCTCTTGAAGAATGAGAACAGACCTTGTGATGCTCTCTGGCTCTCTGGCACATCTACTTTCAAACAACCCGCCGTGGGTCGTTCGTGGTCGTGGAAACTTGACTTCTAAGCTCAATCATCACGTTGGCTTCGCATTTTATTGTCGGCGGGTGTCGACAGCCAGCCGCCAGCCGCTCAGACAAAATGCCGCCTTTTATTTTTGGCGGCAAGGTCGGGGTATTTAATCTTCATGGGGTATTTGACAGGCGGGGTAACTCAAGTAACCATGCAATTTCGCCGCCCGGACCTGCTGGCGGCGCTCCCTCCAGTCCACCAGGTTCAGTCCTTCGGAGCTTTCGCCACAGACTGCCTCACTCATCACTCAGCTGCGATAGAAAGGAAGGTCGAAAGACAATGAGGTCGTTCTTGTTCATCAGTGCGCTCGGCCTTTGGGCTACATCCAGCGTTCGGTGAGAGATGACGATCGTGGTTGCATCACGAGAGGCAGCGGCGGCCGTAGCTCTCACCGTCGGTCGGGAAAAAAAAACGTTCCTCTCTCTCTCTTGAGTGAATGTTGCTTGCCGCTGGTTGAGTGTGCTTTTTATCTGTCTCAGCCGGGGCCCGCAGTACATGATGCCGGCTCTCGCGTATCTACGAAACAGCATGCGGGATCGTATTATTGTGTGTGTAACAATGAAGGATCTCCTTGATTCTACAACACGGGATCTTCTCCAATAATAATCTACACAACAAGCCCGTTTAAGAGAGTAGTGATGACATGATGAGAGGCGCTCGAAATTTGCCCTCTATTATTTTGTTGTTCGAAAATACTTTCTGCGGCTCCTGGGGTTTCGGCTTCGATGCTCGCTTGTCCTTTCCATGTGTCGGCTGGGGGTGAGATGAACCCTGTCAGCGAGAATCTGGCATGGAGCAATACCGAACGCGCCATGAAAACTCATTCATATATATGCATGCATATTTATTTTTCGTGCAGCCCTCTCTCGCTCCTGATTTTTGTATTGAGGCCAACATATAGATTTTAGTGTACTTGTAGAGCAAGTTCTCAAAGTTTGTCCGTGACAAGATTATCTATAATTAGTCCGGCATAATTTGTGTAGAACAAGCGCGATGGAGCAGACAAACGTTTATTTATGGTTTATCCAAGCACCAAGCGCCTGCGATTGATATTGGGGGCTTTCTTGTGTATCTCGTGTTCTGTTAGATAGTCTGGTATCGTACTTTTTTTCCTCCAATAGGAGAGGGGGTATGCACAGATATGTAGGTAGGTGCAATATGTACTGCTGTAGCAGGCCGGCGTCTGCGTCCGTTGGATGGAGTGAGGATGTTGGAACACTGGAAACAACGCTGAACAGCGATGGGAACGAACGGTGTTATATTTTCTGAAAAGCACCACCAAATTACTGCTGTACAGCAGTATCAGTACCACCGCCTTCCGTCAGCGGCCCACCAGCATCAATCTCCGACGCTGTCGATTGAGACTTGGACCCGATGACATAATTATTCTATTTTGAACCATTGCCGTACACTGGTTGCGAAAATTGAAAGGGGCCGAGTTCCCCTTAGAAGTCTACTCGACTTTTTACTCACTACCATTTGACATGTGTTCATTCATTCGATCACCCATCCACGCATGCATGCCGCTGCATGTACCTCCTCGTTGACGTGTGTCGTAGACCCCCTTCTTCCTTGTTCCAGGACCCGACGTGGTCTACCCCGTCCCGCTAAATTGTTCGGTTTGTTTTCACATGTTGTTGTTTCCGGTTTATTTGCGATTTATGCATACAATCGATGATGATCCGATGCAGGGCGAGCTGTGACGATTTGAGGACCGCCCTCTCCTCTCCTCTCACGGGGGATACCACCCTCGAGCTCTCCGGAGACGCCGACTGCCCCATCCTCGAAGACAATGAGCTGGAGGAGTTCACCGTCGAGGGCGGGACGCTGACCCTCACCGGCCCGTCCACCACCAAGTGAGTGTGCGTGTGTTCGTCCCATCTGTGCTGCCGTCGGTTCACAGGCCTTCCGGCGTATACAACTGACGTAGGTATCAGCCGGTGTCGCACAAGAGGAAGGTCACACAGGAACTTTTTGTTTTGTTTTTGTTTTGTTTTATTATATTGCCCCACGTTTCCCTCTGCGGTGCTTGCCTTAGTTCTTATCGGGGGAAGGGTTCAGCCATCCCTTTCCCCTCGTCGACCGTGAAGCCGGAGTGAGTCCGCCACGAGAAAAAACAAAAACAAACGGCAGCGGGGTTGTCAGTGTTCAATACCGTTGGTTGCAGCTAGAGAGAAAGAACGAATGAATGTGTTCCTGCGGGGTTGTTTTTGGTTTGGCGGAGGGTCTCTGACCGCTTGCCGAAGGCTGTTGAAACCCAGGGCGATATCATGTTTAATACTTCATTCAGTAATGACCTCTTTGTCTCCACGACATGCAGAGATGGAGAGATCTCTCGCTTGTCAAAACGTACTGCTGTACATCCGGCATGTGTACCGTACGTGTCCAAGGCACCGGATTTCGCCCTGTAAACAGATCCGTCTCACCCCGCCGCCTCGTCCGTCCCATGTATATTTTTTGCGGTCCCAAGGTTCACGAACCTCAAGTTTACCATCATGGACCAGGCTGGCCTGATCTTCGACTACGACACGACTGAGTTCGGCCCCAACCTCGGCTATGTAAGATGCGTCCGTCCATTCCCCTTTCGTGTGTATATCTACATGCACAAGCAATTCATAATCAATCTTGCTAAGTTATCATGAACACGTCTGGCGTGTGGGGGGGCATGGAGGGGAGGGGCATTCGTAATAGAAGTACGATTTACTGCTGCGTTTGGTAGACTATGCTGGCAGGTCACGCGTTTGAGATGGTCTCCACATCCCTTCTCGGGAATACATCTACTGTAGATGCAGCACGTGGTTTCATTACACGCGGTGCGCCGTTGAAATAATTTCGGGGCAATCTTTTTTCTCTTCGGCAGCTTACAGCGGTTGGTTGCATCGCGCGGCGATTTCGGGGTGATTTTGAAGCCGGAAAGTTGTGATTTACATCCTGGTACACCTTTTGGAACGCCCGAGGCTATTCAAGTTCCACGGCTAATCTACCTTTCGGGCCGAAGGTGGTTGTACGAACATATTTACCCTCGGTTTTTCCTCTCTCATCGGAAAGTTGACACCGAAAATCGCGACGGACACTCCCGTTTTTTTTTTTGCATGGAACAGAGCTATGCAAGCTGCAGAGCTATGCAAGCTGCTTTGTCAAGTACTAATACTTTGTTTTGTTGACCCTTGCCACTATAATACCGTGCTTTTTCTCTGTTTGGTGCCCGCAGGAACAAGAGGACAGCTTCGGCGGCTACATGGTGCAAGTCCTGTCGGGGGGCTCCGTAGAATTCCTCGGGGAGATGGCTGCGACGGGCCTCGCCAACATGCGTAGCGTCTTCTACAACGAAGCCGGGGGCAACATCGAGTGAGTCTGCCAGTAGGCACGCTTTCGCTAAGCATGTGACACTCTGTTCGAAATTTTACGGAGAAATGAAACATGCGGCCGACGACTTGGGGGAGTGGGCCCACACTCTGATGTTGTCCAAGGACTATGCTCCTAGAGGTATGTATGCACATAATATCGGGGAACTATACGTGATAACTCGTATGTTGCCATCGCGCTTTCTGACGATTGCACGCTCCACCCCAACTGCCGTCTGTCTATCGCAAGGTTCGCCGACAACGCGGTGTTCGATGACATCGGGACCAACGTCTTCCGCAGCAACCTCGGAAGGCTGAGGTAAAGCGGTGGCTTCTCTTGTCCTTGGTTGGGCCGGTTTTCGCACAATTATTTCGACTCTCCGTTCCTTGTGTGTTTCGGTTGCTCGTGTAGTCGAGCGTCTCCTTCTTGTTCGGCTTGTTCTTCTGCTGTGTGTGTGCGGAGGGGGATCAGGCAACACCTACCACTTTTCATGGGGTTTGGCATTGCACCGACCAATCGAAAATGCTGCTCGGCCGCGTTGTGTCTCGTCCCCCCCCCCCTCCCTCTCTTTGGTGATAACGTTAGGTTCTATGGCGACGCGACCTTCACCAACAACATCTACCTGGCCATCGACAACGAGGGAGGCAGTGTCAGGTGAGGATGAGTCCCGCCCGGCTGGTCAGGCATATGCTGCCGTCCGTCCGTCCACACGCAAAAAGGATGCGCGGTTATCGTATTTTTTCTTTGGTCAGCCACGATAATAAATAGGACGAAAAACATGCCATCTTTTTTTTCTGGGCATTTTACCTTTGGGTATGATGTCTGGACACAAAAGCCCCCTGGCACAGCTGCTCTTAGTTCCAGCAACACGACAGACGGCACTAGTGCCAGGCGTACGGCACAAAACCGACGTGACAGAAACGCGCCGACGTAACGTGTGCTGTGCTTTTACGTTCGTTCATGAGTTAACACGCAATAGGCGTGTTAAAATAATGCCCCATGATATTCACCCGCACATGTTTAATTTTCGTGCATTTCGCCGGGTCAGCAACATTAACCGCCGTGTGATTTTTTTTTATCACGCGGTCATGAACGTTCTCTCGCTCAACGACCAGGATACCACCCGATAAGATGTACGACAAATATTTAGGTCTGACAACTTAACTATAATAGGCAAGTCAAACAAACCCTGACACATGAAAATTGTTCATTGATCAATGCCCCCATCCTTTCATGCGCGCGCGTCCCTTTGGGACCCGACCCCCCCCCCCCCCCCCCCCCCCAAAAAAAAAAAAAAAAAAGGGAAAACCCCTTTTCCCAAAAAAGGAAAAAACCCCACCGCCCCAACGGGGGGGGGTTTCCCAAAACCGAAGGGGGAAAACCCCCGGGGGAAAAAAAACAAAATTTTAAAAAAAATGTTTCCCCCAAACCCAAATTCCCCCGAAAGGAAAGGCCCCCTTTGGTTCCCAAGGGGGAAGGGTTTTTAAAAAAAGTTTTACCCCCAAATTCCCTTTTAAAGGGGGTTTTAAAGGGTGGGGCGCCCCCCCTGGATTTTTCAAAAGGGGATTTTTTTTTGGAAAAAAAAAAAACCAAAAAAAAAAAAAAAACCCCCCGGGAACCCCTGGGGGGCCCTTCTTGGCCCAAATTTTTTTGGGAACTGTGGAAAAAA